GTATAAAAGTATAAAAAGTATAAATATATAAAAGTATAAAAAGTATAAAAGTATAGAAAGTATAAAAATATAAAATAGAAAAAGTATAAAAATATAAAAAGTATAAGAATATGAAATAGAAAAAGTATAAAAAGTATAAAAAGTATAAAAACATAGGAGTACAAGATAGAAAAAGTATAAAATATAGGAGTACAAGATAAAAAAATAGAAATATATAAATATTATAATTAATAATATATAAAGAAATTGTAAAATGTTCTAAGTTCTTTATATGATTTTCATAACTTCACGAAATATTACAAATTATGAAATTAATGATTTTATAATATAATTGTAACACTACCTTTATTAAATCTTATCTATAAACAAATTAATTACATGTAATTACATCATTATATTTATTGTGCACTACTGGATATTCAACCAGGTTGCTATAGAATATCAGTACTGTATTGCTATAGGATCATCCATACACTAAGTAAATACAAAGGAAGATATTTATTAGTAGTAGTAATATCTTATTTTGATGATAGTAAAAGATGCATTATTGTGCAACTGGATTTTAATAATGAACAAACAAAATTGATAATTAAATACAAAGATTGGTTGAAGTCAAGATTGATAATAACATCAAGAAGAGCCCAAAATAATGAATCATGACATTTGACGAACTCACCAGGAGGATTTATCCAAGAAGAGATGAATCTCAAAGTGCTACAAACCAAGAATGGCTAGAAACAAAAGAAAAATAATAGTAGCAATCAAGTAATTTATTCTCTGGAAAAATAAAAAAATTCATCAAAATCATGCTACCAATTTCTTTGCAGATCCCGAAGCAAAATCCTGTCAACAAACTAAAAATATTAATATTTTGTCAACTCGTAAATCAATATTCAAAATTTTGATACCATCGGATTCCTCAGAACCTAAGGAATCCAAAAATATTAATTTTCCCATTATTGAATCAATATTCGCCGAGATATTTAAGGTTGAAGTTAAACAAAAATTTTATTGAAAAATAAAAACACCCAAACAAAATTCTCAATCATAAATGGGAAACAACAATATCTCGTCAACCAGTGGATAATTTTTATACCATTGGATTCACCAGAACCTAAGGAATCCAAAAATATAAAATTCCCTGCTATAGAATCAAAACTGACTGAGATATTCGCAATCAAAGTCAGTCCACAAAAAAATTTTGTCCAAAAATGCCAAAACGAAAATTTTCATACACGAAAGAAAAACAACAATATCTCCTCACCCAGTGATCAGAATTTGCTAATATTTATACCATCAGATTCCTCATGATCTAAGGAATCTGAAAATATAAAATTCTTCATTATAGAACAAAAACTTATAGAGACATTCAAGCTCAAATTTGGATAGAAAAATGAAAACGGGCTTTAAAATTTTTATGACCATCTTTGAACAATGATATCTCCTCACCCAGTATTGAAATTCAATAAAAATTACACCATTAGACTCCTCTTGATCTTGCAAACCCAATGATATGTATTTCTCCAAAATTGAACATAAACTGACTGAGTTATTACTGCTCAAATTCATTGATAAAATTTTTATTGAAAAATAATAATTACCTGAAATTTGAACAAGAAAAACCAAAAAAAATATACACTATTTCAATCATATAATATTCCTTCAACACAAAAACAACCCCACCATACATAAATTACCATCAGTTAATCAACAATTAACAGAGAAACTCACCTAATTAAGGTTAAAGAGTGAAATTGTGCCTAATAAACAAAGAAATCTGGAATTTGAGGACAAATTCTTAAAAAGAAGAAGGAAAAGAGAATATTCCAAAAAACAAATATCAAACTCTTCCCACAATAGAGTAAAAGCACCAATAACAACAAAGAAGAAGAAAACAAAGAGATTACTCACCTAATAAGGAAAAACACTTTTTCACAATTACAAAAGGCAAACTGTCACTATTTACTCCTGACAAAAATCAACAAAGGATAAAATAACAGTGAGAAGACTGTAAAATATTACTCACACACAATAATAGAAGTGATATGAACAGATCCAAGATATTTGCACATGTTAAATTGTTAAAATAATGTGAAAAAGAACAACATTCACGTATAATTTCTTTATTATTATTAATTTCTTTATAAAAAGAACATTATTTCTTCCTTTAAAAATCATTATCAATTCAAAAAAAATACAATTAACTAAGAATGAAACAAGTATGGTCCCTATTTTCTCCCCTTAATTATTTCTTAAAAATTCTTGCTAAATAATATATCATGATCATGCTCCTTGTAGGGTTCCAAAAAAAAGTCTGGTTCAGTTTGAGCTTGAACCAGACTCGAACCTGACAAAAAGTCCAGTTCGAAACTTTGAACCTAATTAAAAGTTTGGTTCAAGTTCAGTTTGAATTTTGAACCTGACTCGAACCTGACCAAAAGTTCAATTCGAGTTCAAGTAAATATTTATTGATGTTCTAAGTAAAGTTATAGATCGTAACATGAGCTACAAATTGATATAAGATAGTTAATATTTAGGATGAATATTTAAGAAGTTATATGAATTTAAAAAATAATTTTAATTATTATGATTTTAATCTACTTTAGTTTTAGTATAATAAACATTTATTTTGCTATAGTAATTATAAACTATAGTTATAAGTAAAGTTGTAGTCAGAAATAAGAGCTACAAATTGATATAAGATAGTTATTTTTAATAATAATTATTCAGAGAGTTACATAGCATTTACAATCAAATTTAATAAATATAAAAATAAAAATACTTTAATTATTACTATTTAAGTTTTTAATTCTTACTAAATACTATAAATTGTGCTTATAAGTAACATTATAGCTTATATTTAGAGCTACAAATCAATATATGATACTATATATCGAGCTTTAATCAAACTCGAACCAGACTCAAACTCGTATAATGATTTGATTCGAGTTTGGTTCAAACTTTGAATCTTTCTTGAACTCAAGCCAAAGTTTGGTTCGAGTTCAGTTCGAATTTCGAACTGAACTCGAACCTGAATAAAAGTTTATTAATTTATAAAAATGGCTATATATACGTACGTATGTACATGTACGTATATATACGTATAGTGTTTTATGATTTCAATCTGCATTCAAACTTGGATCGACATATAGGAAGGCTACTTTAAGTCTCGATTCTTGAGGAATTTTTTTAAAAAAAACTTATCGCCATTACTTTTGCCTAGGATCGTATATACTGTATAGTCAATATTATACGGGCGCTTTTCTAATAAATTACAATGCCAAGCCAATATTGTTACAGTAAGTCAATAAAGAGTTTAGTATTAGATTTCACCTTTTCTATTGAATGACGTCCATATACGTACATGTAAAACAATAAATATTCTATACGTATTTGTGATACAAAGAAAAATATTTCTAAATCATATAGAATACAAATACACCAGCAATTAATCCCATGATAGTAGTAACTAGCCAAATAGGATACTCATCTTCGGGATCAACGCGGATTCCGCTAGAGCTTTCAGTTGGTATTTCATTAATTGTAGCTGGCAATATATTTTCTTTCGTCATTGAAGCTAATAACAACACATTAGAGTTATCGTTATTAATTGGGGTAATAAATGATGATGAATCTGTCATAGTATTCGTAAACTCGGATGATGTCGATGTTTCCAAAGTAGGAAACGAGAATTCATTGTATGGAAAAGTTGTCGATGAGACTAGAGTATCAGCTTGTGCTAGAAAATGTTGAGACGATATTGTGTTTGTTGCTTGTGATATGGGTGATTCAGGTGATGATGATGTAATAGCGATAGACATAACAGAAGGATTCAAAATTGAATTCATTGATTGAGGAAAAGGTGTTACAAGAGGTTTAAATAATTCAAAAGATGGTTTGTGAGTAGCAACAGGTTTAATCAAAAGTTTATATGGTTTAATTAAAGGTTTATGCGTGGGAACTGATTTAAGTGATTCTTCAACAGAAGGAATAGATTCCTCATTATTAGTGGTTGCTGGTTTATGCGTGGCATGTGGCTTGATCTTTAAAGATTTATGAATGACAGCCTGTTTAATTGGTTCGAAAAGATTATGAGTGACAAAAGGTTTAGATGATGCAACATGGTAGATTGATTCAACTGATGCAAGCGGCTTCATTAAAGAATCGTGAGTGACGACGACAGGTTTAAGGGATGCGTGTAATTCAGCAGTGGCCACAGATTTAATCGCAGAAGGTTTATTATGAATTGAAACATGGACGATGGTGGGTTGAGATTGCTCATGTAATGCGTGATGACTCAATAATGGTTGATAGGAGACAGCCTGCTTTGGCATTGTTAGTCTTTGTGGATTATGTGTAGCGACTGATTTTGGATGAATGTCTACATTAATAAATATACGTATGGAATTAGCATATAAAACAATTCGTTGGCATAACGATAATCGCAATATTGACCTTTAATCTCACTCGCAATAATCAATGTACTAAAGATAGATAAGATTGAGAATAAAGACGAAAAGCGCGGCATCTTTCGGTAAAATTAATTGTGTAATTTTTGTTATTTTATTTCTAGTCTTACTGTAGTTGTATTTGTACAAGTTGCGAAATAATTTGTTTATGAATTTGAATATTAGAGTAAACTACACAAAAAAAAGCGCAATTCCGCATTCTATTATATACATCCAATTTTCTTCGGCTCATTGATATGATAATAACGATAATAATAAATCTAACAAATCATGTAATTATTTCAGAAATCTAAAGATATATTTGATGTATTTTCAAAAATTAATAAATCCACTATATCGTTATCGTTATAGACGGTTTTCAATTCAAGTTCACTATATCGGGAGTTTATATCGTAGGGTTGTTATCGTTATTTTTGTATTTTTAAGCGTGTACAAACATTTTTCAGAAGGCTAACGCTAACCATATTTTTCTCTTAGGGTTAACGTTAGCGTTAGCGTTAGCGTTAGTTATCATTAGAGATGTTGCACAAACATTGTATGCTACATGTACATGTACGTATTTTGTTATATAGCAAGAATATTTGTTGGAATATAAGAATGTAATTCAAAAAATAATATAATCCAGAAAATACATGTAATAGGTTTAAGATAGAAATTCCGAAATCAGTTTAATTACTTTTTGCGGGTCTTCGACATGCTAAAATATACAAAATTACGACAAAAAATTATTAAAAAGACCCAACAAAGCCAACAGAGAAAAAGATCATTTAAATAATAAACATACCGGGTAATGACCTAATCCATCTAACACCACACTCTTAAACGACTTTGCCTTCGCATACCGTGGTCTAACAATCTCTGGTTCTCCAGCTGGATCCGGGTAATCGGGATCTTTGCTACCATAAATCGTCAAAACCGGGCAAGTGACCTGAGTGGCACACTCCCATGCCGGTTCTTTGGTAGCCTGTGCATACATTTTGAGTGCGTACAAACGACCGGATTCGTAGAGATTTTTCTTCAACGCCGTGGCATATATTTCAAAGTCGGCGGGTTTTTGAGAAGGATCGGGAAATAAGGTATGCCAGTAAGTTAGCCAGACGGTTGTACCCCAAATTGGTAGGAATAACAATCTTGAGGCCGGACGAAAGAATTTATCTTTTTTGAATTTTAATAAGGTTATTAAACTTTTGATTTATATAGTTTTCGATGAATTTATTTTGCTTACCGGCTGGCATGTCTCTGACAATTCCATTAATCAATATTATATTCTGTACTTTTTCAGGATATTTTGAAGCAAAAATATTCGCAGAAGCACCAGCAAGCGAATTCCCTATAATCACGATTGGACTCTTGATTTGTGCATGATCCAAAACTCGAATCATATCACTTATTACATAATATATAAAATGAAGATTAATATAAATGATTATCCAAAATCAAAAAAAATAAATAACTCACGTTACTACATCTTCTGGTGTATAATTTGTAAAATTTGCAGTACTCTGTCCAGCTCCTCTTAAATCCATACATAGCACACGATGTCCTTCTCGATTAAAATGCGGCGCAATAAATCGATAAGTTTGTCGGAGCTCTCCCATTCCAGGCACAAAAAATAATACCGGCAAATTTTCCCCAATGTCTCCAGTATCTTCGTATGCTATGTAACTAGCAGCATCTGGTGTTGGCGATGCAACAAACTGTGTTGCTGTCAACGGAAATATCGAACGAAACGCGTTTGCTGATTGCTCTACGCTTAGTTGCGAAATTGCACGTTCTGATGACGATGAAGATGTCTGAGTTGGAGATGACATTTTGAAGCTTTACAAGGTATTTAATTTAATTGAGAAAAAGTTTATTGAATCGAAGCAAATCTGACGCTAACACTAAAGTCGTTTATTTATACATGTGCAAAACTCTAATATCGAGTGTAACAATGTTCTATTCCCATACAGTAGATTCGGCTAAAAGATTGTACGTATACATACCGATACGAATTTAAACCTATTATAGGTATTCTCGGATTCTAACTTGAACAATTTTGTATTTCATTTCACCCGACTAAAATGATGTCATGCCTATCGTTATGTAACAAGTGGCAAAATTTTCTTATTATACGTAGTTGAGGCGTTATTTTCAATCAAGAAGCTAAAAACTGACCACTATTTCAAATGTTAAAGAAGCCGTTTTTCCATTTCATAAAAACCCATCTTCGCCGCAATATTTATTGAAAGTTTTAAATCACTTTTTAATAACTTTCTCGCGTATATATTTCCCTGAAGATAATGCCGACACTTCGTTATATGCTCATTTTTTAATTAATAATCTTTCACAAAGTACATGTACTCAGTTTAATTCAATGATATGTTTAAGTTAATAAAATGCAATAGTAAAATAAAGATAGAAATTAACGTTAAGCTTTATTTCAGTTCTATAGAAAAAATAAATCTGAAATATTTACCTTGAAATTTATTTATTTTTTTTTGAAATTAATACAAGTTCAAAAGGTTTTCATCTTTGTATAATACACATTTGTGTTGCTTACATATGTTGTATCAAAAAAATTTTATTTCTAAATTAATTGCTTTAAGGTTAACGTTAAATTAAGTGGCCAAGTTATACAACGCCACATGTTAGTATAAATTAAATTAAAGCATATCCGTATTACGAGAACCTTAATTGTCATGTCATCACTGTGAGCTTATTCGATAATGTGTCGTGATAAGTCTTTTGTTTTACGTCTGTGCATCTAGGTGTATTTGGTAATAACTAGATTGGAGAAAAGTATGTTGTTCTTTAATGCAATAATAAAAAACCTTTAATTTAGCGCAAAGATCACGTCTTAATATCTGTTTCTTGTCATTTGGTGGGTTTTTACACAATAGATTAATTTAGAGAGTGAACGAAGATAAGTTAATCACAGGTCTTGTAAATAATCGGAGTTTCATATTGTTGTTTACTATTTAAGAATTGCTGCGAAACCGTCGAAACCCTTTTGACAAATCTAGAAAAGGGTTTTTCTAGGTAACTTTAATATGAATACGAGTTGTTGCTCTGGTATCGGAGATTTAGGACAAAAAATGCAGAAAACAGCTTATTTTTCTTAACAATCTTTGCTGAATGCATATTATTCAATTCAAGCCAGATATACTATAACTCATCCTTGAAATTAAAATCTGCTACCCACTAGGAGGAGTCTGGGTAAAGTTATCTGTACACTTCAAACCATCGGTAAAGTAATGACCAGATTTATCATTAGTACATTTTTTCCCCGCTCTGAATTGAAATTTCTGCCTTTTATAGGCATGCATTAGATTTCCTAAGCTATAATAACGGATAGGAGCTACTAAAATATGCTTAAACGTTGGATGACCGAAAAAGTGGTGATATGGATGATCAAGCAGAAAATGACGCTAAAATGATTGTTAATACGTAATAGGTTAGTATGAAGTTGGAGTTCTTTAAATTGCAGGTTTTTTGAATAGTATCGGTATTACAAGCCATTAGTTTAAAGATAAAATTAGAATTTATATTTGAAAATTATTTTGGGTTAAAGGTTTCAAAAACCGTATGTATTAATTAGAACCGTTAACTGGCATATTATTCCAAATAAGTTCTTTTCACTTTAACATTTCTTATAAGAGAAATAGAGAAAATATTAATCAGTCATTTGGTTTGAATTACGTATCGGTATAGTATAATTTCTCGATATGGTGCACCAACTCTATAATCGACACATCTTATACGTAGTCTTAATGTTAACGTTAAATGTGTGGGACGAAAAACGAATTACATGTTCGTATGGTGAAATTTTTGGCCAAAATTGTGCAGATCATGTGATTATTTGGCCAGAATTATTGACAGTTTCTTATAATAAAAGAGCAGTATTTATAATGATATATACATAAAATATATAACTTAAATTAATTTTATAATAATGTTTATATTGCTAAATTTATTAGTATAATTGTTATTTATATTTTATTATAATAGATATTGCAAATTTTCATCATCCCACATTACATAACGTGATTAATGACATACTATACGTACAGAGAGGCATAGCCACAAAAAATCACATCCAAAATTAGATCGATCTTTAATTTTTTTATACATGTAGAAAGTATTCTGCACTCTATAAAAAATATTTGAAGTGAGTAAAGGTAAAAAATTTTTTATATTGGTTTATTTTAATAAGTAGGCTCAAAAATTGGCATCATAATCAATTATGTGAGCAGAACAACCAATAGAAAGTTAATCATGTCAACAAAACAACCAAAATAATCGGGGTAGTGCTCAATCACGTGACCTTTTCCGGGCAAGTTCATACCGGAAAAATTTATAATCGGTGTATTGATGCAAATATCACGATAATGTTATTTATAATAATCTATTGATGTATTACATAGGCTTTAATATACGTAGATGAACGAGAGAATAAAGATTGATTTATCATAAGACTTGTTTTAGTGCCCAAAAATTAATTTATTCTTTTACATTGCCTTCCCTACTATCTTATATATTAAATCTCATTTTGCGCATCTAAATCACTATCATGGCATTGTTATCGTTATGCCGCCATTACAAATGGATCGTTAAACGTTGAACCTATCAGATGATATCACCATTGAAGTCATTACACAATTCAAAGCAAATCACATCCGAGTTTATAAACGAGGTAAAATGAACACCTTTTAAAGTGTAAGCATATCGCTTTTTTGTTTTTCGATCTAATTCACTTTTTCAAAATTAGATTCAGACTGCTCTAAAGTGTGTTAATGTTTTTATTAAATATCATGGAATAACTAAAAATCCAGCTACACGTGATGGATTACGCAAAAGATGGCGAGCTACGCAAATATATGAATTGGGAACAAAAATTAATTCATTATGTGAGATCATTAGAGGGTTAAAGATGATTCACACTGAGGGATTTGTGCATCGTGACTTTCACCCTGGAAACATATTATTATCATACAATAATCCTCAAATTGCTGATTTTGGACTTACCAAATCAACAGATATAGAAACATCTAATCAAAAAATTTACGGAGTACTGACTTATATGAGTCCAGAGGTACTAAATGGCAAACCATACACTAAACCTGCAGATATTTATAGTTTTGGGATGATTACGTACGAGATTGTCACAGGTGAACGACCATTCGGTGAGCGGAGTCATAGTAATGATCATCTATAATGAAGTACGACTTACGATACCAAATAATGTCCCTAAATTATTCAAGTTTATTATTGAAAAATGTTGGGATCCTATTCTAGAAAACAGACCAACTGCTGAGGAACTTGATGATTTTATCAGAACTATCACCTATTCATCATATTGTGACCAACTGAATACTTTGCATTTTCAGCACTACAGCTCTTTAGAATACCCTAAAACAGGAAAGCAGAAATTATATATTGGTTTAGACCAGAAAAGAAGAAATTAAATAGAGTTAAGGAGTATATTGAACTAGAAAAGCAGAAATGGAAAAAACTTGATAAGGCGATGAAATTAAAAAAAAAGCATTCCTAAGAATACGAACGAAAAACAAATCCATTCAAACGCAGTTTACACCAGTCGAATTTTTACTTCAAAATTAATTTCAATTCTAACTGACACAGGTATTTTTTTTCTAAATATAATTCACATTTAACTTTTAATAATTAATTAAATTCATAGAGAATGTTTAGGGTTGACAAGTGTCAGTTTGTTTGTTCCAAACGAAGGTAAAATTGTATTTAATATTGTTTTTTATTGATTTAATTAATTCGTTGCGATTTATTTTTGTGGTGCAAAACAGATTTCGATTTTAGTATCCCACATGAAACTATAGACTCATGAAGAAGTACTTCCAATATCATGCTCGTTATTAAATGAAACTGGTAAGCATGACTTTATATATGCGTTATCGTTATAGAATCACATTAAAAGGATAAAATTATATATTTTTTTAATTTGTTAGCATCAAAAAAAAAAAACTAACGTCTAAACAAATCGGTGTCTTTAGAAAGTAACGAGAACAATGATAGAAGAACAAATTATAATTCATCAATATATCCATCCTTCCCCAACCCGAAAACGTCGTTTGGAGTCAACAAATACAATTTCTCCTTCACCCTAAAATAAGACGTGCTACAATTTGAAATCCAACATTTTTTTTTAATACTGATCTCCTTAGTTTAATATGACAATTAATTTTATGAATTATTATCTTCTATATTATAAATACTACTTATATTCTTTAATAGTATTTATTACCTGCTCAAGAGAATTAATTGTACATGTACATAATTAATCACATTTATTCATTTGGATTTTACACAAAGTTGTAGTCATGATTGAAAAAGTAGAAGAGCTTTACGAGATTTAACTTAGGGATTTTATATTGAAGCATTTGATAACTTCATTCTCTTATTTAATTTACACTGCTTTATTATCTATTAATATAGAACTTTTAATGCACTTTTCAAGAATCAGCTATTTTGCAATCTTGAAAAGGGTGTGTTATTTGAAATCAGCAAAGAATGAAAATGCCAGAAATACAATCTTGGTTTTTGTTATCAAAATGAAATTGGAACAAATATAATCTTGATGAGAATATATTTGAGTTATTTATTATTTTGAAGTATCGATCACGCTTTTATAACTGCCACAAGGAAATATTTTTCTCGAGATGATCAATTACAGCGATCAAAATTATGTGGACACCTAAATTAAATCTTTTGTGTTCCACTTTTCGTTTGTTTTAAACATAGATCGTTTTAGTTTTTATAGTATCGTTGGTTTGAAAAATGAAAACAATCTCCAAAA